CCCACCTCCCCCCTCTCCCAGCACCGCTTCCCAGTTCCTCCCAGTCGCTTCCCAGCCCCGAGCCTTACTCTTGGCGGGGATGCTGGGGCTGCGCCGGTGCCCGGCAGCGATGGCAGCGACGGCAGGAGCGGGCAGGGATCGGGCCGGGATCAGGGATGGCAGCCGGGCGGCCGCTCCCGTCCGAGGGGTCTCATCTCATTTTGTCCTGTGTCACCAACACACACACACACACATTCGCAGCCACGTTTCCCCCCCCTTCTTGCGGCAAACGGCGGCCAGCCCCGACCCCACCCCCTGTCACAGCAGCAGCCTAACAGCGAGGACCGGGAGGATGGAGGAGGATCTGCTCGCCTTCCCTTTAACTCTTCCCTCGCCACCCCCCCAGGACAGGGCTCTGTCCCCGCGGACCTGGCTGGGGATGCTGGGATGCTGTTTGCATCTCCCGCACCTTGTCGCCTTCCCCCGCAGGGCTCCGGGATGTTTGGGGTCTGCCGGTGCCCTGGCTCTGTGCCCCGCAGCCTCGCCTGCCTCATGGCCCTCGTGGCCCCCCAAAAAAGAGCCCCCGAATAGAGCTGAGCCCCGGCATTGCTGCGGGCAGTGGGGCAGGGGTGTCTCGGGGGCACGGGCAGCCCCTAGGTGACAGACGAGGCTGGGGGGTGGCAGCCGAGTCTGTCTGCCTGTATCCACCATGAAAATCCCATTTTGGTCCCTGTTTCCCCCCATTTTCAAGAGCACAGCCCTTTGGGGTGGAGGGGGCACAGCCTGAACCCCTGGGGGTCTCTGGTTGGGGTGGGATGGGGATGTAAGGTCAGTGTGGGAGAGGAAACAACTTTTCCCATCCCATGGAGAATCCAAGGACCTGAGCTCTCAGGGGCTGGGGACAAACTCCCCAAATTCACTCTTACATGGATGAGCTGAGAAAGGGACATCCAAATGGCCAAGGACTGAAAGCAGGACAGGTCCTGACTGTGACTGCACTGAGCTGTCTTCTCCAAGGAGAAATGAGAGGCTGCCAGAAGGAAAAGGGAAAGGGAAAGCTCATGGTGCTGTCCATGGACAGGTTGGTGGCACAATGCTCCCAGTTCAGGTCCTGCAACGCACTCTGCTTCTCCCTCAGCCTTTCCATGGATTTATGGAGGTCACACCCCTCCTGCTCATCTGTCAGGAGTCCCAGGAGGGAGGAAAGAGGCAGGAATTGCTCCTACTGAATTCTGCAGCTTTCCAGTGAAATGGCAGGGTGGGTAATTAATTAATTATTCCTGCTAATAGTGCTGGCCCAGAACCACAGGCTGTGAGTATCTCCCTGCACAGGTTGCTGCTGACAGAGCTCCAGGGGCTGTGTGTGATCCTGCTGGGATGGAAAGGGCAGCTGAGGCTCCCTGATTTACTTAGAGCTCGTCACCTTTGAGGACCGGGATTAGATGGGCTGGGCAAAGCCACCTCTGCTGTGGGTGGGATTCTGCTGCTTCCGACCAGCACTGCCAAGCAATGGAGCAATTTAAATCCTGCGTGGACACGTGGGGGGGGGGGGTCTGTCCTGTCCTTCCTGGGCAGCCTGGTCTGCTCTGAGCCTGGCAGTGCTGCCTCTTTTGGGGGTCACGCAAGGGTAGGAGGTGTCCTACAGGAAGCTCATGGAGATTTTTGTGTTGCTCCAGCTTCAGATGAACCCTGCTCCAATTGTCACCCCAGCACACACCTCCAGGACTGAGCAACAAGCTGGAGCTGCATCTGGTGGGGGATGAGCTCCAGCTGCCCTCTGCAAGGGGCACTGGAGTGCTCCTGGACACCCTGAGGGGATGAACAGGGAGCCTGCACGTGTCCCCCTACCCAAAATGGGTCATGCCTAGGCTGGGGCAGGTCCAGTTTTGTAGCTGAGAATCAGAATCAAAGAATAATTTAGGTTGGAAAAGACCCCTAAGACCACTGAGTCCAAAAGTTAACCCAGCCCTGCTAAGAGGAGATGCTCTGATGGTGACATGGACAGCTGCAGCTGTCCATGGACACCTAAGGAAGACCAAAACAAGACAATATTTCCCTTTGGCATTCTCCAGCACCTCCAAGGCAGAGGTTTTTGCCAGGTCCAGACATCCCTGGGAGCTGAGAACCCTCAGTGTGCTGTGAGTCCATCCCCACTGCAAGGTGCTGCCTCCTTGGGTGGGTTGAAGCCCAGAGCCTTTAGGACACCCCATTCCCTCCCATTCCAATCACTGAGCCTTTTGATAAGGATTATCCTGGGACCAGCACTGGGGCTGCAGGATTTTCACTCTCCCCCTCTACACCAATCCCCCTCCAAGTGCTTGCAGATGCAGATTCCCTGTGGCAGGCTGGGATGAGCTCTCTCCCCAGAGCACAGCACTCTGCCCCCACTCCTCATCCTCACCCTGGACCTGCTAAAATCCCGAGTGGACTTTGTTTTCCCTTATTTGCTGAGTGTTTTTTGTGCCTTGCTGTGGTGATCATGCTCCAGCCGTCAGCTTGCAGCGAGTCCCCGGGAGAAGGTGCCAACTTTAACATATGCCTGAACAGTTCTTTTCAGACATATACAAACTGGAACAATGCCTCGCTGGGAATATGCTTGTTGGTGCAATTTGCCAACTGTGGCTTCAGATCTGCTCTTTTCAGCAGGCACCAACTATTTGTAGACAGTGCAAAAGCCGGGATCGCCGCGCACGGAGGGATGGGGTCTCTGGAAAGCTCTCTGCAGGCATGCAGAAGCCAGCAGGGAAGAGAATCAAGGGCTGGGCAAAGACCTCTGAGCATCAAAAATAATGATCAGATCAAACATTTTGCTTCTGAGAACTTTTCCCCTTTGCTTAGCCAAGCCAGCACTGATTTCTCCACTCCCTGAACCACGTTCTCACCTTGTGCAAGCAGGACCTTGCTGAGCTCACCCCATTTCCTGGGTTCAGGCATCTCCCAGTGCTTCCTCCATCACTGGTGTTCACCTTTCAGGTAGGACATCACCAAGATGTGACTCTGGTGCCACTCAGGGTGTCACTACTTGGAAAAAAGGGCTGCCCAACCTTGGCTGGGCATTCCCCATACTTCTTCCCATGGGTTTGCAGACACCACGGCAATGTTTGAAGGAAATCTGAGAAGATGATAACAAAGTGGGGCTGGGGTTGTGTCCAGGGAGGTGGCCAGGCTTTCCAAGTGGGCAGTGAAGGCCCAGTGGTGATGATGAGGAGGAATTTTCTCCCCTGCACCGATGAGGACGCAGCTCTGCCCTTGCCCACGTGACAGCCTTCATCTTGCAAATTCCCAGAGCAGGGGTCATGTCCTGTTCCTTGCCCATGGCACAATGGATGTGGAGGTGCCCACGAGCCAGCCCAGGAGTGGGAGGGTCAGTGCTGAACTGCCTGTTCCCCATGGAGCACTGCCAAAGGCACAAGTGTTTGAGACAGCAAATCATCAAGGGACCATTGTTCATAGCAGCCTTGGTGGAAATATTTGTGTGTGTGTGTGTGTGTGGGTGTGTGTGTGTGTGTGTGTGTGTGTGTGTGCTGGCATCCAATTTGGCAATGGTTACTCAGCACAAGTGGGCGGCCTGTCCCTTTCTCTCAGCTGGAGCCTCCTCCTCCTCACAGGGACCCAGAAGAGGGATGAAAGGAGAGCAGATGGTTTGGGGGTGCTCAGAAATACCAGTGCCAAGGGCTGTCTCATCGTGGCAGGCTGAACATGCTCAGGACCAAGGAGGTCTCTCCAAGCAATGGGGAGAAGCAGGAGGTCTGTGAGCCATTCTTGGGGATATTGATGGTTTTGCTGGATTTTGAGGAGAAGGACCAGGAAATTGAGATCTTTGGGGTGTCATGCAAAGAAGAAGAGATATTTGGGGTATGGGGTTCTGTAAAGTTCTCTTTAATTCTTCTTCTCCAAAGGAATTTGAAGAACAGATGTTGGAGATGGACTTTGGGCAAGCGCCTGGAGTGACAGAACAAGGGGAATGGCTCCCACTGCCAGAGGGCAGGGATGGATGGGATAGTGGGAAGGAATTGTTCTCTGTGGGGGTGGGCAGGCCCTGGCACAGGGTGCCCAGAGAAGCTGTGGCTGCCCATGGATCCCTGGAAGTGCCCAAGGCTAGGTTGGAGCCACCTGGGCTAGTGGAAGGTGTCCTCCTCATGGCAGCAGTGGGATTAAATGACCTTTCAAAGACTTTTGCAACCCAAACCAATCTGTGATTTTATGCTGAAGGGACACTGCTGGCTTTGCTGGGAAGAAGCCTCAGGGCTTCCTCCAAGTGAGGATCCAGGATTACCAGCCTGGTCAGCCGGCCAAGGCAGGCACGCTCCAGGTTATCTCCTCTTCCAGCACCACAGCAGATCTGTCACAGTCCTTTCATGGAAAAATTCCCATTGAAAGCTTCGCTGCTGCTCTCTCATCCCTGCAAAAGTGAATGGAGAGATTTGTCCCGACCTCCATCCCCCTCCACAGCTCCCGGCATTTCGCTTTTCTCCAAAGCAACACTCTGCTGCTAGAATCAGCTGAGATGAAACCGAGCTGGCTCCTACACACCTTGGAGCTCAGGCAGGGCTGCTTCCCACACAGTGTCTTTCACCCAAATTAAACAGCTCCCAGCTGAGCCCTGCCATCCATCACACCGAGCCGCAGGCACGGCTCGGCTTTGGCAGCTTTTACACCTCTGTGGGTTCACGTTTAGCAGGGGAAGAGCAGGGACCTTTTCTTTGTGAGCATGTTCCAAGGGCTGTGCAGCCTTGGAGGTGATCCTTGGGATCATGCTGGAGGCAGTGGGAGCTGATTGTTGTTAAAGATAGCCAAGACCTGGGCACTGAGGGCTGTTCTACTCGGAAAAAATCCTTCCCTGTGAGGGTGGGCAGGCCCTGGCACAGGTGCCCAGAGGAGCTGTGGCTGCCCCTGGATCCCTGGCAGTGTCCAAGGCCAGGCTGGACACTGGGGCTTGGAGCATCCTGGGATGGTGGAAGGTGGAAAGCCTCAGGTTGGAACTAGATGGTCTTTAAGGTCCTTTCCAACTGTGACTTTATGATTCCCTGATGTCCCAGATTGCAAGGCAATGTGTGTTCTGTTCTCATCTGTCAGAGCTGGGGCAGTTCTCTTCTGTTCATTGGGCAGTTTTCTTCATCTCTTCCACAACCAATCCTCCCTCCAGGAGATCTCTGCTGTTAATGGCCATTAATTATTAATTATCTTCTGTTCATGGCCAGTGAGTGTCCCTGCATGGCTGATCAAATTCCATCATCCCATTGGGAGATGCTCCACCCAGGGGAGGAACCAAGCATTCC